GAATCCTGAACATGTACCGGAAAATACCTTGCTTAAGTGGTCAACTGGCCATCCCGTACCGTCGGTTGCGGCATACAAAGCTTCAGTAGAGCTAAACCATATTCAAGGGAAAAGAACAATCTGGTTTTCTGGGGCATACCAAGGTACATTCCTGCTTATTGTCTTTACCTCAAAAGTTTTAATAATTGTTGGGTCATGATGAGCCAAAAGCACTTATGTGGCAAAAACTATGAGCTTCATTCTAGTTCATTCTAAATCGCTATCATGTATCGGAGTATGTTATCTTACTGCTTTACATAATAATATTAAGATTCTTAAGTCTATTTTTTAACAAAAAGAGATATTATGATTTTCATATAACTTAAGTAAATGTATGTGTTTTTCAGGTTATGGATTTCATGAAGATGGATTAAAGGTAATTTTAAAGCAATATTCTTAAAAGAGTTCCTTTGCAAAATGTCACCAACCTGTTGAAATAACTGAAGTGTGTGAGATTGAACTTCGCAGGCCGGCATGGTTGCAGCTCATGACGTTCTTGGAAAATGTTGTAACCTTAAGACGAACCCAAAACACATGGTACCTTCATGGAAGGAACTCGGAGCACGCCACTTCGTAACTAGATTCCTTACTTACTTTATTACTACTGGTTCTTTAACGTGAGTTCACTTCTACTAGTATGCACACATTTAATATGAACTTTCTATTGCAAAGCTTAACTTAGCGATACTGATATATTTTACCTTGAGGTGTTACAGCTTATTGGAGGAAGGAGGAACAATGTTTACCTTTGAGGGAACTGGGAAAAAGTGTTCTCCAAAGACTGTTTTGAGAGTTCACAATCCCCAATTTTATTGGAAGGTATGTACATATCAGTGTCGTGTCTGATGTTGGTGCTTCAGAGTAGTTGGCAATGATATATAAAACTTAATCATCTTTACATGTTTGTCAGATCATGACACAGGCAGATTTAGGCCTAGCAGATGCATACATCAATGGAGACTTTTCATTTGTCGATAAAGACGAAGGTCTCTTGAACTTTTTCATGGTAAGCATACTCATCTAAATTTTATGAATTGTTGTATCTTTAAGATTTATCCTTTTACTTCCATTAATTAACCTTGGTATTCTCATGTAGGTTCTCATAGCCAATAGAGATATAAATGCATCTAACTCAAAATTGAAGAAGACTGGGTAAGTTGATATATTTATTGAATTGAATCATAAACCAAGATATTCAATTACATTTGCATTTCAAACTCTTCTCATGTGTCTGTAGAGGCTGGTGGACACCGGTTTTATTTACGGCTGGTTTAACGTCTGCAAAGTTCTTCATGGACCATGTTTCGAGGAAAAATACTCTCACACAGGCTAGAAGGAACATTTCTAGGCATTATGATCTGGTATAAATATCATTATATATTAATGACAAAGTTTCCTAGATTCAACTACTTTCAATAAACAAGTGGCAAGTGAGCATAAAATTTGATATGCTTAGTGTTTTGAAGTTCTGACACTAAACCAAGATATTCTTCTTTTGTCTATGTAGAGTAATGAACTCTTTGCACTTTTCTTGGATGAAACTATGACATACTCATGTGCAGTGTTTAAGGCAAGAACAACAATTATTTTGATGTTTGAGCCTAAATTTTCATGTAAAGTGAACTCTTTACTTCAATTTCTGTAGTAACTGGTTAACATTTCTCCCTTTATATCTTTTTAAATTTATCTGATAGAATGAAGATGAAGACTTGAAAGATGCACAAATGAGAAAAATATCTCTTCTGATTGAAAAAGTAAGTGCCTTTGTCTCTAACATATTGCTATTTTTGAATCTGTTTTGCTAAATTTTCTAATTTTTCCTGAAATAAAACAAGGCTAGAATAGAGAAGAAACATGAAATTCTTGAGATTGGATGTGGATGGGGACGTTTAGCCATTGAAGTTGTTAAAAAAACTGGTTGCAAATACACTGGTATCACTTTGTCAAAGGAGCAACTCAAGCTTGCAGAAAAAAGAGTTAAAGATGCTGGCCTTGAGGACAATATCAAATTTCTTCTATGTGACTATCGCCAATTGCAAAAGACACATAAATACGATAGGATTATATCTTGGTAACATTTTAATTTTGCAGACTCAAGTACACATACCGTTTATTTCTAGCATAGTATGTAACTTGTATAAGTATATTTCAGTGAAATGATAGAAGCTGTTGGACACGAATACATGGAAGAATTCTTCAGTTGTTGTGAATCAGCATTGGCCGATGATGGACTTCTTGTTCTCCAGGTATTTGTTTAGACGGCGTGTATTGTTTATATAGTTATATGTGAATGAAATGATCGCTATCCGATGCAACTATTGAAGACGGTTTGGTTTATGTTCTATAGTTCATATCAATCCCGGATGAGCGTTACGATGAGTATAGGCGCAGTTCTGATTTCATAAAGGAATACATTTTTCCAGGAGGTTGTCTGCCTTCTCTTAGCAGGATAACATCAGCCATGGCAAACACGTCCAGACTATGGTATAATCTTTACATATATTGATAAAGTTTAGGTGAATTGAATCTCGAAAGTTCACTAAGACAAGACCATAATGAACCTAAATGCAGTGTGGAACATGTTGAAAACTTAGGAATTCATTACTATCAAACACTAAGACTGTGGAGGAAAAACTTCTTGGAAAGGCAGAGGTATATATTGATTTGACAGAAACATAGTAACTTGTTTATGTTATATTCAAGTAACTACTATATTATTTGTTTACACTAAACTTATTTTGGTGCTGTCAGTGAAATTTTGGCTCTTGGATTCAATGAAAAGTTCATGAGAACATGGGAATACTATTTTGATTACAGTGGTGCTGGTTTTAAGTCACGCACACTTGGGAATTATCAGGTACATTATTCTTACGTTGATACGGCAATTATGAATTTATATTCAAAAGTCATACAAGATTTTGATCTGAGAGTTGCAAATTGTAACAAGTAGTATATGATGTGCTTTATGTGCCATGTAGATGGTTTTCTCGCGCCCGGGTAACCTTACTGCATTCAGCGATCCTTACAGAAGTTGGCCCTAAGCACAAGACTCGCACATTCCTACAAAATACATTCACATGATGATGGAGTATCTCATCTCATTTATTGATAATCTCCTCATTTATCTGTTGTGATTATCAACAAAAAATGAATAAATCATTGTTGTTCTCTTGAACATTGTTAAGCCAGAGGAGTTGAGTTGTGCTGGTTTGGAGTGGCAAACAGTTAGAATTGTGAGGTTTCTTTTCATTTGAAAAATTATATATTCTTTAAACGGAATAAGCTTTGTATGCAATACTTATCATAACTCGCCCAGAGTTGAAATTTTCTTATGAAGAGCTTGAAGGAATTATCTTCTGATTTTGAAAAAAAAATGCAAAGCAGAGCTATTAAATATCTGCATTTTGTGTATCGATGTCCCTGAGAGAATTCATAGCATTTTGTGTTTTCTATACGCCATTGCAAGCAAGAAGAAAATGCGTCAAAACAACAAACAAAAAGCAGTAAAGAATATATATATATAAGCTTTTTTTAACAAAAAGAAAGAACATAGCATCAAAGAAAAGAGCAAAGAAAAAATGCAGAAGCTTCAAAACAAACAACAAAGGCGATGGACTTGGAATCAAAGGAAATTTGCAGAGCCATGATAATGTTAACTTTTATCAGCAGCAATAGAAAAGGAAATAGTATTCCCAAGTCACACTCTTAATATCCATAAAGATAGGTACTACTACTACATCCCCATTCTCCATCCCGTGTCACACTCTTAATATCCATAAAGATAGGTACTACTACTACATCCCCCATTCTCCATTATCCATAAAGTTAGGTACTACTACATCTGCAGTGATATATAAGAGGATAAAAATATTATCTTTCCGGATGCAGCTTGGCAGTTTCATCTTTCCAATTTGTCTGTAGAAGTTGGTAGCTAAAGATTTAAGACAAAATTGTCTTCTTTTTTTTAAATAAAATAAAAAAGTTTCATAATGTCAACCACTCAAGTTTTTAAAATATCCTACAAATATCTACATAGTAGAATCTGATTTGATGAGTAAAAATCTTACACTTATAAAATTAAATTCAACAAAACTACTAGTGTATGACTGCAACGATAAAGAACATAAAGCATAAAAACAAAGTCAAATATAAATCTCTGGGGCAGACATCTAAAAGTTATTGCCAAAATTCATTGTGCTGCTAACCATCCTCGGCAGAAGGTTGTGACATTATATCACTTGAAAAGCGAACCTCCAAATTTAATAATGCGCTGGCCCAGAAATACACAACATTGCCTTAGCCATGACATGAGTGGACACTTGGCTCCACTTCAATACTCGTGCACCTCTCCTCCTGTACAACACAAGTGCAAATACAGGGGAAAATGATTATGCCATCTTCAAAGTTTCTACTATCACTACCATTATCGCTACCCATTACGAAGTCACCAACCCAAGTGTCCACTGCTATCAGTAAAAACCTTGACTACATCAGGCTTATTTCTACTTGTACTAACAATTAAAGCATTGCCTACACCATTAGATTTCCTATCAGAGGAAAACAAAAGAACTATCAAAAGAACAAAACAAAATGCTGCATCAAACCATCATATAGGGTGAAATATAATAAATACTATAGCTCAAATGCTACAAGAACAGACAAATCCATACCATATCAACTAAAATAATAAACACTCAATTTAAAACTACACGCAGAAACAAATACTAAAATAGAAAGTATCATCTAGTATCTCTTCAAGCATTCTACTTATTATAAACTAGAAAAGCAAATACTGCAAACTACTGAGATTCAAGCAACCCAACCAGTCCCATTGTGTATGAACGTCAGTCGTGAGTGACTCCTTTGCTGTTGAAAGAAATCATTGTAAGCTCATGTTTTAAGAATAACAAGCGGGGACCCTCAAGTCAAGTTCAAGACCCAGCAAATGATAACTATCAAAATTACTGTTGTTGGGCTTGTCGGGTCTGAGCACCACCATAGCCACCACCATAACCAACTTGCCCACCATTTCCCTGAGGAGTCCCATAATTACCAGATGCTTGAGCCTGTTCAGATCTCCAAGCTGCATTTCCATAACCAGAATTTCCATTTGCATCTCCATAGCCGCTGCCCATATAGTTGCCACTTCCACCACTACCTTGCAGTTCACTACCACTCTGACCACTAGCATTACTACTTGGAGCACTCCCAGTACGCCCACCAACAGCACCATATACACCTGGATTCCCATAAGAACTATCACTTGCACCGTACCCGCCACCATAACCACCATACCCATAACCTTGATTACCATATCCAGCAGCTCCACTGGGGGATTGACCTGCAGTTGCTGAACCAGATCCAGCACCACCACTTGGAGCACCCCAAGGAGCAGTGTTTCCATAACCCATAGAACCATAGCCAGAGGGAGCCTGAGCAGGCCATGAACTCCTTGGGCCACCACCAGCATAAGCTGCATTAGGAACATTTGGGTTCCCATACGTTGCGGCAGCAGGTCCGCCATAACCAGCAGTGGCACCGCCATAACCTCCATATGCTGCACCATAACCAAGGCCATTGCTAGCCGAACCATACCCATACCCAGCAGCACTATAAGCAGAGGAACCATAAGTTGGGAATCCACCTGCAGCACTTTGAGGCTGCATATACCTACTAGAATCAGAACGACCATCATATGCATTTTGGTTGCCACCGGAAGCCCCATACCCTTGATAACCACCCATTCCGCCACTACCACCTCCAGCACCACCCATCATTCGACTACTTGCACCAGGATTGGCATCCTTTGGAAGTGCACGCTTTACCTCTACTTGTTTACCATTTAAATCATGAAATGTCTTGTGCAAAACCCTATCAACTGCCTCCTCAGTATCAAATGTAATAAACCCAAATCCTCGTGGTCGTCCAGTATTCTGATCATACATGACTACAACATCAGTTACATGTCCATATGCCTCAAAGTACTGACGAAATTTTTCTTCAGCCAGAGTGGGGGGTAACCCTCCAACAAATATCTTTTTGGTTCTCATATTCCCACCATTACCTGAACTCAAACCAGAATTAGAGTTTCCAGTTCTTGAAGTGACAGAAATCGGTTGATCCTCTCTTGAGAATGCCCTCTTAGCGTCAACCTGAATAACAAAATTACAAAGCTGCTAGTTAGGCCTATAATCGATAGTAGGAAGTAAAACAAAAACAGTGTTTAGGTCATAAGTTAATATCAATATTCCATACTATCAGCAGTACCAAAAAAACTGATATTTTAGGCTGCAGCATTGAGTCATGTTTTCAGATATTTGGGCAAATCCAAAAACATACAACAGAAAACATGATAAATTATCAATAAATCCCAAGAGAATTTATGCATACTACATTTACACAAGAGCATCATCATTCACACACAAAAAAATGTAATCCTGATTCCTAATTCACACTCAACTGTAAGCATGTTGTTGAAGGAAATGGATCACATGCTCATAACTCCAAAAGATTTTTTTTTTACATCTCAAGAATTCAATAATGAGGCTAAAATATTAAGATAGTAACTATCACATAATAACATGTCATAAACATAAATAAATATACTTGCTAAGAAGCGACAGCCCAGATAGAATGTAAACATAATATATGTGACAAAACAGCTTCAAGGTAATGACAAATTCCCAATGTATTGAAAGCTTTTGTGTTGGCATTATTGTTTTGAAACAACATTAATGATATTCCTATGTATCATCTTAACAACTTCCCAAAGAGAAACATTAAACTTTACTTTCATTAGATACATTCTATTTTAAATCATTTCACTAAGCATCTTAAACATATTCATTAGCAATTGCCTATTACACAATGGAAAAGTAAAGTCCTATAATACAACCAAAGAAGCAACATTTAATCGTTTCCCCAATTAACAAAAAAGCTTTTAGTTTCTACAGCAAACAAAGAGCAGAGAACACGCATCCCTGCACTTTAATTCCATTACACAATGATCTATTAACAACATGCTAACCAAAGCTAGTAGCATAACTATTAAGTAGAATTTCTAAACAACTTGACTACGAACACAGCACACAAAAATGACACGATTCACACAAACTTGTGTCGAGTTAAGACAATCAAATCAAACCATTAACAAACTAATTAGGCCTGTGTTACCAAACATATACAACCAAAAATAGATGCATACCAATTAAAACAACAAACAATCCATAGATGAACATCGATTAAAGCCTTAATCAGTGAACAAAACAAAAACCCACCTGCAATTCAGAAGCAGCAACGACAATAAACAAGCTAAGACAAAAAAGACCAAATTTTTAACACAAAACACACTCACCCACATAGAGAACCCTAACTTTGGTAAACAAGGGTATGCAAAACATTCAATGAAAATGACAAAAACAAAACAAAAATGGAAGAGGCATAACCGTTCTTCCGTCAATAACATGCTTGTCTTCAAGAACCCTATCAAGAACAGAAGGATCTGAAAAAACCACGAAACCAAAACCTCTAGGTTTGCCAGTGTTCTTCTCTCTCATAACTGAAGTGTTCAAAACATCACCATAATTTCCGAAATGCTCCTTCAGCTTCTCCTCATTAGTATCCCATGAAATCCCACCGATGAAAAGCTTTCCCTGATCCGAATCCATTCTTGATTTTTCTTCTCTTCTTTATTCTCTCACTCTCTGCGAGTATAACTATATAACTGTATATGAATAGGGATTTGAATGGTGTTTGCAGAGAGGAGAGGTTGAGGAATTGGGGGTGGAGAAGAGAAGGGAAGAATAAAGAGGAAGAGGGTTTCGTGCGTTGTGGCTGTATGTGATGTGAGAGAGAAAGAGAGAGAAAGAAAGAGTTTATGTGTGTGTGAATGAATAAATATATATATGTAAGAAAAGGGCTAAGATTTCTTCACAAAATATACTTAGTAGTAGGGTTTAACGGCTCAGATTTCTTTGATTTCATTTACATTTTTTAAGAATATGCCTTCATCTTTGTGAATAGTTGTAATTTGGAAATATGAGGATATTTTAGTAGTTTACTAAATGTGTGTTTAAAATAAATATGTTCAAAGGCAAATAATGTTTGAAGAATTTAATTGTTATGCACGATAGCAGTTTTACATTGTCAGTGAATTGTAGTCGTTAAATATTTATTGAAATTTAATTTTTATTTTAATTATTTATAAAATAATATTTGTGAATGGTTGTGATACATTAAATGTGTAAAGAATTTTACACTTACAATGCATAGTAATTAATCTCATGTTTGAAATCCTAGTAGAATGTTTGTTAATGCGCTTTTGTGTTGAAATTATTAATTGTGGCTTCACAATTTTCATGTTGGAAGTGTACGAAGACGTAGGCATGGCAACGGGATGGATCGGGGATGATTTTTACCTCCCCGAGCTTAAATCTGAATTCTCAAACAATCTTCATTACTCGCCTCAAATCCAACGGGGATAGAGAATTAAAACTCAAACCCGTCCCAAATAGGTTTGGGTTGAGTTCGAGTATCCCCGTCCTGCCACCATCCATTTAGTAAAATCTTTTTTTTAATAGAAATATTTATTTTTTTCTAAATCAAATTACATTATAAATAATAAAATATAACAATCTCAAAAAATTGCATACATACATTTCAAATAATAAATACAAATTAAATTATCAAAATATTGACCACATATTTAATATTATAAATTATAAAAAGTAAATAATAATATACATAATAAAATAAACTGGCAGGTTCTGGGGCGGGTTCATGGTGGGTGCCAGTGTCCCCATTATCCGATCCGTCCCATATTTTATAATCGGGGAAAACCCAAACCTGAACTCAAACCCAACTAAAGCGGGTTTTCCTCGTCAACTTCGGGGCGGTTCGGGTGGGTACATGCGGATACGAGTTTTGTTGTCATGCCGGAAGACGTGAGAATGAAGCTTCAAAAGATGTTTCAGACATACAATAAGTCAGTTGAGAACATATATACAGTGAAGATTCTCCAGAGTTTCCACGTTATTACTTTCTATTTTTGGATTTTGGATCTAAATAATATTCTTAAATATTTCATCCATCTTGTGCCTCATGATTAGGATACTAGTGGGTTGGATAACACTCTTAAGTACTTCAGTGCCTTTCAGATTTCATGTTTAGGGTTGTGGACTCATATAAACCTAAAATATTGTGAGTTCATCATCACATAATAAGACATAATCATATATCCCAATACCAGGGGTTCACCTCACCAACACATGATGCATCAACCTTTAGTTAGCCTATGATCGAAAAGGGAAATCACGATATAAAACACAGTGGTAAACAAAATTTCCCTTAAATGATCCTTACAAATGGATATGATCATATTGTTTACCTCTTGTGGCGATTAACTATTGACGAAGAATCAAAAGATTAGTCACGAGCAATAAACAACAATGCCTATACTCAGTCTATGCGAACATAGTGTCTTCAATCTCAGTGCTAGCGGATATGAATAAAGACTTTATGTGTGTGTGTGAGGGAGAAAGGGAAAGAGATAAGAGAGTGGGGAGAGGGTGGGTGAGAGAGTGAAAGAGATATAGAGAGAGAAATTACGATTTGGGTTTTGCAAACCAAATTTTATCGAGTAAGAAAACTTTAGCACAAGGTTTATATTTATAGAATTGCTTCTATGGGTTGCAAGCTAAACAACTTCGCTTAAGTGCATTGTACCTTATGATGTAATATACCCTACATAAGTGAACCATACCTTATGGTGTTTCATATTCCATTTAAGAGCATTATATCTTACAATGTTATGTATTCCACTTAAGCATAAGATCTACACCTCAAGCATGTCCAACGGTTCTTTGAATTCCACGCCTGAAAGATAACGCGGTTGTTATTCATATCCCATATATATATAGGGAATGACTCTATTTCAGGTAACAAGTTTCAAACACAATTTGAATACTATGAACTCTTTCACATATTGACTTCTACTTCAGAGTGTTAACCTTGCAATTACACCATGCTTCACTGCATCAAAAGCTCTACTCTGCTGCAACTTTCACATCTCACTTTATTTTTGGTTCCCAAAGGGAACATGTGGTAATTAATTATTGATACATAATGATAGAATGATGACAAGCGCTAAATGTTGCCCCCAAAATTTTCCCTCCTGATTTTACTTTTAGATGACTTAGGTTCGGCATATCATTTGCATATTTACATTAGGTCATTTACATTACATGCATTCTTTGAATAAGGCTTGGGTTCAGAAGATCATTAATTATGCCAATTAGGGTTTCATATTGGTTTTGAGGCTTCTTAATCAAATGATTGTTTTCTTTGGTTCTTCTTTTAAGCATTAAAGTGGGATTAGGGTTTTGAAGTATGGTTATCATATATTTCTTCTTCATCAAGCTACAAGGGCTTTTCTCCATCAAAATTGACCAAGATATTTCGATTGAGATTATTTGAATTAGGGTTTGGTCCCTGTAACGCCCAATATTTAATTAATTATTTAATTAAATATTTTCGAATATTTTTCCGATTAAATTTTCGAAGTTGTGAAATGTTGATTTAAGTTGTATTGTTATTATTTGAATTAATTTATTTGATTAAATTGTAGAAATAGTATTAGAATAATTCTATTATTATTATTATTAAGTGGGCTTTTAATGTTAGAAGTAGTAAAAAGGGAGGTTAGGAATTTAAGCCCAATAAGAATAATAGTATAATAGTTATATTATTATATTAGTTATTTTAAAAATAATAAGAAGTAGAAGTATCATTAGAGAGAAAGAGGAATAAGGGTTTTGGAAGAGATACATAGAAGGGCAAAGAGGAGGCAAATCTAGGTGCAATCGGAGAGTTAGAGCAACCTTCAATCTAAAGTAAGAATGGAGTTCTAACTCTATAAGTGATTGTATGATGGTGAGTTATGGTAGAGTTAGGTTATGTAATTTATAATCTCTTTGTGTGAATTTGATGTGTATGAGGTTTGTATGTGTGATGATTGATGATGAATTGGTGTAGATTGTTGATTTAATTCGTTGAAATTGACTATAATTGATGAATTAATGTTTCGAATTGTATGGTAATTGATGTATGTTGATAGTAATGATAATTGGATATTTGATTGCGTATTATTTTATAAAGTTTGTGTTTTTGGAATTGAGAAAAAAGGGTTTTCGTACTGTACTTTACAAAATTCGTAAGACTGTTTGACAACATTTTTGAAAATTTAAAAACTCCATAACTTTTGACTCGGGTGTTTGTTTGACGCGCCATTTGAACCTACAGAGAGATAAAAATATTTTCTACAGTGTGGTGATAATTTTGATGGCAGTAGAATAATATTTTATTGGAAGAATTCTTATGTGTGCGTATATTGTATGTGCTGTAATATAAAATGTTGCGATTGAATGTATCAGTGTTTTATAAACAATGTACAAAGGATTTTGTATGATGTATTAATAATAATGGTGATGTAATATTATAGTATAATAATTTATAGAAGTTTTGTAATTAGAAATAAGCATTTAAATAATTAATTAACCGGAAATAGTCGAAATAGTCTAGATAATTACGCAGTTTATTTGTAGTAAATTTTAGTTGACTCGTTGTATTGTGTTCTTTGTTGAAAAATGTGAATTTTCAGGTGATATTATTGCCTCTAGTTATGGGCAAAATATTAAGTTGTAGGCTTATGGCCAATGTTGGTTTGTTGTTGCGTTGCTATGGAATTTTGTTGTTGTCATTCTGACATTCATATTACGTTGCATACATAGCATATCAAGTTGGAGCTGATGCTCAGTGAGTTGGCCTGGATTGGCAAATTAAGTTGAAGGCTTATGCCTTATTGATGCCTCTATTAATTGGAAGATTTTTAAGTTAGGAGTTCTGCTCCATTGGTACCACATGCATGTGCATTTTAACGAGTCGCATTTTGTGTTGCATATTTAACATGTTGGGTTGTTGACTTGTGATAATTGATGTTGGTAGAAAATTGTGAAGTGGTGGTTTTATATAATCTGATCTAATAAATTGTTTATCATACATTCAATTATATGGTTTGATATCTCACCCCTTCTGTTTGAATGTTGCCCTCTGTTGGTAACGTGCAGATAATAAAAAAGGATAATTGTTACCTTCATTAGTTCGAGTCAGTATTGTCGCTCTTATGTAGCACTCAGGGGGATGAACACATGTTTTCTTTATTGTTGGTTTTCATTATGCTGTTGAATTTTTAAGTTGCTTTTAATAAAGACTTGTTGTCTTAAAGTTGTTTTGAGTTGGACAAGATGTTATGGTGTTTTCAGTTGAATCTTGTGAATCTGCTGCGTAGTAATGAAAGTTGTTTTATTTTTAAAGACTAAACAGGTTGTTATCGGTTCATCCGAATTTTATGTGTTATGTATCTGAACTATAAGTGGTTGAATATCGTTGTTTTCAAGTTGAAAGTGTAGCATTCTATTTATTTGTTGGAAATTTTGTAACTCTGGTTTTATATAATTCGTTGGGTAGAAATGGGGTGTTACGTTAGTGGTATCAGAGCGAGTCAGTCCATCTAATCAAGTTGTCGAGTCGTAATTTCGTCTAACAATCGAGTATTATTAACTTGAGTTCTAAGTGTTGTTTATGTTGTAGTGATATTTTGATTGTTCGAACA